CGCATACCGTCCCTGTGCCAAATCTCCAGGTGATCCCCCAGGTCCTGACCTCTTCCTGAACACCTCCAATGCTCAAAAGTGTTCAAGAGTTTCACTGCTCCATTGTACGCCAGGTTCCAGCCACAAGAATTGTGTTCTGCAAGGATGGGGTGGAAAAGAACAGCCTGAAAGCCCAATGGGGGCAGATGAGCTATTTCATGCTGCTGGACGTCACCCTGGGGAGCGCAGGGTGTGGGTACCAGCACAGGAAGGCGAGCAGCTGGGTGAGCTCTGCCCTCAGCAACCCACGGAACCTGGCTGTCACAGGTGAGAGGTGGCACTGGGCATGGGCAGGCTCCACTCCAGAGTCCTAATGACACTAATTAAGGACGGGATCCCCCTCATACACGATGGTGTTTCCTTGGGCAGTTGGGATGCTCAGCTCAGACTTTGTGTCTGAGCTATTTCCTCCCAGTTACAGGGGAGCATCCTGCTCCTCTCCTGCCCCAGCATCACGCCAAGGGCACAGTGGTGGTGCCAGATCTAAGCCAGAGCCACAGCTGTGCAATGCAGGGATTGATTGATGCCCAGGGTTGAGAGATGGTGGGGGAGGGGGTCCCCACAGGTGCTTGGTCTGTGCAGCACCTGGGAGAGCTCGTCTTGCCAAGTTCTCACGTGGTCAACGTGTGAGCCTGCAAAACAAGTAGGAGGCAAATACCTTGCTGGTGAGAGAGCTGATGTGAGAAAGGGATGGCTATTTTTAGAGTACGTTCACCTGAGCACCAGCAGCTGCAGCGAAGAGCAGTAGCTGGGCTGAGTTCGGATGTTCCTGAGACCGTCTGAGCCCGTCCTTCAAATGGGATCCACTGTCCTCTACAAGGGAGTTCCAAGAGTCTGGAATGCTGAAAAATCCCATGTAGAGTCATGAGCATCATCCTGCACTCATGTTTCTGCCTGGCCTTTCCTTCCTGACTCATCTCAATTGGAAAAGGTCGCCGAGATTTCCATCTCTCTTTTCCAGGGCGGACACACGTCACCATGTGCAATGCACAGCTGAGAGACTGGTACATCTCAATTTGTTGTGACTTCTCGAATGCTGCTGTTCATCAACCTGTCCCAGGACAGTCAGTCCTGATGGCAAAATCCCTCCCTCCACCATGCAGACAGACAGGCTGCCACCAGAGTCCTGCTCCACCAACCTGCCTTGTTGAAGTCTGCTCTATCTGGAAGGTCAGATGTTTGGGGCTGGGCAGAAGATGTCCCCTGGGGATGATGACCCCCATCTGATCCCAGATGTGCATCTTGCCACGGCACAGGGAGCAGAAAAGGCTGCTTGTTGTGATTCCGTCAGATACCACAGCCAAAAACATATTCAGGACACTCAGCCACGCCACAGCCACCAGAAGCAGCCAGGAGAGGCAGGAAGAAAAGCCCCAGAGGAGGCGCAGGGCTCAGCAGAGGACCGCCAAGAGACTTGGTGTCTCCTCTGTGTGGGGAAGCGCCTGCGGCCACCCGTGGGTTGTTCCCAGGCGCAGCAACGCCCAGAGCGGACACCTCTTGTGGCGCTGCCTCAGCTGCTGCGAAAGCAGAGCCTGCCAGCTCCGGCCAGCCAGGGATGGGGAAGGGGCCGTCGGGTGCGGGCAGTTGGGCGCCCATGGCCCATCTCCCCACCGTCGCCTTGCTGCTGTTGGGTGAGTGGGAGCTGGGCCCGTGTGGGGGACGGGGCTGGGGCTGCCAGGCTTTGGGAGCGGGGCCTGGGGACTTGCCTTTGTGGAGAGCTGGGTTCCATCAGGAGAGAGGTTTCAATCCCATGGGTTGAACACCCTTGGGCAAAGATCTGTGCACGGGCCTGTCTGACCGGGAATTTTATACCCAGGAGCTGGGCAGGAAACCCCTCTCAGGTACTTGACCAGCTTGAACAGACCACTGGCTCCATGTTCCCCTTTAGCAGACCCCAATCCCGTATTCACATCTCCGATGTTGCCACAGGATAAAGGGGATGGACGGCTCATTTCTTTCTGTTCTCTTTTTATGAATTGCTGCTCGTGTTCTGTATTGAGCACCCAGAGAAAGGGTCTTGTGGGACACGTGCCTGGGGAGGGGGGGCAGCAGAACTTTGTCATTTTTCGTGTACTCAATTGAAGTGAAAATTCCTTTTCTGGTGTTGATGGCAACTGTCATACGTGAAGCTTTGTGCCTGCAGTGATCTGTGAGTTGTGCACAGAGCAAGGTAGCACTTGGGATTTTGGGTGACTCTTCCCTGGGGACCCTTCGTTGCTGGCATTTGGAGCTCTAAAGTGGATATGGTGGGTCAACCTTTCCTGGTGGTGATGGCCACTGTCATTTAACCAAACCCCTCTCTGCCCCACGGTGCAGGTGCCAGTGTGACCGCCCAGGACATCTGCACCTCCCCAGGGGATGGTGAGCACAGGGATGGGGGCAAAAAAAGGAGTGGTGCAGGGGGTGGAGCTGAGAAAGGAGAGGAGTTTTGTTCCCCGGGTACCAGCCCTTGCAGGAGAGATTCTTCTCCTTCCCAACCAAAAGCATTTTGCAGCCCCACCATGAGGAACACTTGCCTACAACATCCCTGCACCACTGCCTTCTTTCCAGGTGACCTCCCAGCTCCCCACCTGAGCCTCAATTTATCACATGCTCATCCTGGTGACACAGTTCTGTTTGGGTGCTTCCTACTGCTGGGGTCCCCTGCCACCCGAATTGTCTTCTGCAAGGATGGGATGGAGGAGCGCAGTCTGAAAGCCCAGCAGGGGCAGCTGAGCTACTTCATGCTGAAGAAGGTCACCCTGGAAAGTGCAGGGACCTACACATGTGGGTACCAGTACAGGAATGAGAGCAACTGGGTGAGGAGCTCTGCCCTCAGTGCTCCCCAGCACCTGGCTATCACAGGTGAGACACATCCCAGTGGTGGGAACAGAAGGGACAGGGAATTGCCACCACGTGGTTTTGCTGATAATGTGGCTCTGCCTATAACAGAGCTCTGCTCTGGGACAAGGAGGGCATGGTGCTGGTGTCCTTCTCCTGTGTGAGTGTGTTGCTGCCACTGATGGATGTTCTAGAGAGAGGTCTCCTCCCAAAGGGTCCCCTTCTCCCTCCATCCCACACCTCTCTGTAGACATGGGACTCGGCAGTGCCCAGGATCAGAAAGCCAGGGCTGGGGCTGCTGAAGGGGCCTGGGCTGTGTCAGGGATGCTCCAAGGTGTCCCCTCTACCTGTAAGAGCCGACGTCAGGGAAACTGGGGAGATTTCAATGGGTTGGGTGATTCCCCAAGAGTCCCATGAAGCCAGAACATGAGCTGGGGGGTCTGCTTCGTGTCCGGAATGGTCCCAGTGCTGAAGAAGGAGACTCACACGGACTTCATTTCTCTGACAGTCTCCAGGCTCTCACCAGATACAGGGATCCCACCCACAGGTGAGGCCATTGTTTGTTAACCTTTCCCACCATCTCCTTCCACCTGGACATTCCTTGTCCACACTGTGATGCCCATCTCCCCACCGTCGCCTTGCTGCTGTTGGGTGAGTGGGAGCTGGGCCCGTGTGGGGGACGGGGCTGGGGCTGCCCGGCTTTGGGAGCGGGGCCTGGGGCCTTGGCAGAGTCCCGTCTGGTGGGAGTCGTGTGTGGGGAGGGGGAAGAGGCAGAGCTTTGTCATTTTTATTGTGCTGAATGGAAATGAAAGTACCTTTCCTGGTGGTGATGGCCACTGTCATTTAACCAAACCCCTCTCTGCCCCACGGTGCAGGTGCCAGCGTGACCGCCCAGGACATCTGCTGCTCCCCAGGTGATGGTGGTCAGAGGGATGGGTGGGGAAGGAGTGGAGATGGGAAGGGAGAGGGGCTTCATACCCCATTTGTGGAAGAGGAGACTCTTCCACTCTGTTTCCACAATAGTGACTCCACCCCGGGGCATCCCTGTGCCATCTCTCCAGGTGACCTCTCGGCTCCTGAACTCTTCCTGAACACCTCCAAGGCTCAGGAGGGAGAACAGGGATGATGGGCTGCTGGCGCCTGGGTATGGGGAGTATCATCAACTGGGATGTGGTCTGGCTCTAAGCAAAACTCCTGTTCTGCTTCTCCTCATGAGATCGCCTCTTCTCCAAATCCTTCTCCCCTCCTCAGATCCCAATCCCCTGATTGTCCACCAGTTCCACACAGCCATCGTTCTGGGAGTGGTGGCCGTCTCACTCCTCCTCCTGGCTGCAGCCACCTACTGTGCTGTGAAGAGAGGTGAGTGATTTGGGGACACGGAGGGGAAACAATGAGGTGAAACCCAGAGCGGAGGTTAAATCACCCATCCTGGTTGAGCATTGCCGGTTCATTACCCCATATCACAGGAAGGGGAAGAAACCTTTCCTTTATTACCTAGGGGGACGGAAAGTTTCCTGTAATGGGGAAGACTAATTTTCTCCATACGCCTGGGAAATATTTGCTTCCAGTCCTCTGGGCACAAGAAGGGAGTTTCCGAGCTGGCCTGAGTGGGGCAAACACGGCTCCTCAACATTTGGGCTGTCCACAACTGCTGAGAGCTTGGGAGAAACCAGTATGGAGTCATGGTTGCACAGGCTGGGCTAAAAAGATCAGTCCCTGAGTGAGGTGTGGAGGTTCATCCCATCGTGTTCATGGGGCAGCCCAGAGCATGGAGAGCCAGGGCTGGGCAGTAACTCTGCCTCCCTGCCTCTCCCTTCCTTTTCCTTGCAGGGGCCTGCAGAGAGAGATGTCAAAGGTGAGCACTGATCCCTCCTGGCTGTGGGGCTGGGGTGGTCGAGACAGGGGCATCTTGGGTGTACCGGGTGGTCCTTGGCCATAGGCAGCATGGTTTGTGTCCCTGGGTGGCTTCTCCCGTGGTAGAGGCAGGCAAGAGTGGGGCTTGCCTTACACTTGCCACCGGCCATGGACCCCATATAAGAAAGCACCATCCATGGGAATGAACCCAATGGCCCCAGAACACCAACCACAAAACCCTTTCCACACTTTTCTCCAGGAAGAAGCATCAGCTTCCCAGCCATGAGACTGAAGTGACTGTTGACAATGGAATACAATGTGAGTACCACCTCCTCCTCCCGGGTGAGCCATGGACCCCTCTCTCCTTGGCGACCCCCTTTGTGTGGGGGGGCTGCCCTCCAGCACCGCCAGCAGCCCTGTGCCCATCACCCAGCCGTGTGGGGGTCTCAGAAGCTGCACAGAGTTGCCGGGACGTCACCAAACCCTGATTTGTGCTCCAAAGCAGAGCGCAGCAGCTGAGGCTGTGGGTCCATGGATGGGCGCCGGTGGGGAAACCATCTCCTTGCAACCTCTGGCCCCAGAGGCTGCAGCAAAGGGGGTGCTGTGGGTGGGGGAAGGGGCAGATCTCCCCACCCTCCCTGTGCCTGCGTCTCTTCTCAGGGTGACTTTGGTTTCCGAGGCGGGCGCAGAGCGGCAGAGAAAGGTCTGCTGGTTGGGCAAAGAGAGACAATGCCCTCTGTGGGTTGGGGGAAATGCAGGCCAAGCCCCCCATCCCTGCTCCCCCTCCCCAGCTGGAAGGGCAGCTGGCTCTGCTGCCCAGAGCGGGGTGAAATGAGGGGGAAACAGGGCAGGGGATTCAGTCCTGACCCCAGGGCAGCTGCTGTTCCAAGGCAGGTGGCTCTCACCCAAACACACAATGGGAAGCAGCAGCTGACAACGTGTTTTTTGTCCCCAACAGACGCCACCATCGCCCACGTTGGACATGACAGGGTGAGTCATGGCAGAGCTTTGGTGCCAAAGCAGGGAGCGGGGCCCCCAGGGACGGGATGTGCTGGTCGGGGTCTGTGGTGGTGTCTTGGGGTGGGGAGTCTCTCTGGGTTGTTCCCACCAATGAACCCAACCGATGCCTTGGAGAAGAAGACGTGTATTTCTGCGTCCCCCTTCCCATATCCTGCCACATCAGATTCTTCTCCATGGGTGACATTTCTCCAACAACAACATATTTTTTTACCAAGAAATGCTTTTTTTTCCTCCATATATGAAGTGCACAGCTCCCTCCTCTGCTCTGATAGTGCAGGGAAGATGCTCGTCTAGGACTCACTTCCAGCAGGGGAACTAACAGGGTTTCATCTTCCCTCCACAGCGTGGTGTGCAGGAGATGGAGCCCACCACAACGTATGCCACGGTGAGCCGCTCCCGCAGCCAGCCCCGATAGCGCTCCAGCACGGCGAGGGCACAGGGAGCCTTGCCCACCTTGGCCTTTTCTCTCGGGCAGAGAGCTCCCGCCCTGGGAAAATGGGGCTGCTCTATTCTGGAGGACTTGCACCAAAACTGTCTCTGTGATGGGCACAGATATGTACAATGTGTGATAGCTCAATGCATAAAAAATACATGCTCTCTAATGTGAATGTACAGGTGAGCAGACATCTCCTTCTGCACCTCGAGTGCAGACATCTCCTTCCCACTCTGTAACGTGGAACGTGTGTGTCCATAAACTGCGTGACACAGCTACGGGTGGGCTCTGATATCTCCCCGCACCCACGCACGGCTGTAGAGACGGGGACCCAGAGCCACGGGCACTGAGGTGCTCACACCTCTCTCTCAAGAGCTCTGGGCAAGGAGGAGGCAATTTGGCTCCAAGGAACAAGAAACCTCCCGGGATTCCTCTCAGCGCTGGCACCTCTCTCGGATCCGGTCCCTTCAGGAATGGCCTTGAGCTGCCCAGAGACAGCCCTAGAGATACAAAGGGGGGCTGTCGAGATCTGAAGGGACTGTGGAGATACGTGGGGATGGAAAGGGGAGCTCTTTCTTCTCTGAGCTCACCTGAGACATCTCCCACAGCCTGAACCCTTCCTCTTCACACTCTGCTGCTGCCTCTCCTTTCCCAGCCTGGCCATGCTTTCCTTCCCAAGCCCAAAGCCCAGACCAAAGGCATCTCCTGCCCTCACCCTACCCAAAACAGCCCCTACAACTGGAGTGCTGAGAGTCCAGGCAAGGTCATGGGGACACCTGGGCTCTCTCAGATCATGGTCTTGCATCCAAATTACCCTCAGGTGTTACCTACGGGTTTGCATTCCTGCTGAGGCTGCAGCTCCAAAGAGCTTTGCAGATTCCCACGCTGGCTGGGTTTTGATGTCCCCATGTCAGCCCCATGCACCAGGGTTTGGTCACAGGCCCTGGAGACAGACAGACACTGCTCTTGGAGGGCACTTCCCCTGAGACCTCTCCTGGGATAGGGCAAACAAGAGAAGCTCCCTTTGTGTTTGGGGGGCAACTTGATGCTTTTATTTACAGCTCAAGGATCTTTCACACTTTCCCCATTCCGAGCTGGGAGAGGGGTGTTTTAGTTGAGGGTTTATTTGGGGTTTTTTGATACCTCTCCAAGGACACAGTTTCTTCCTCAGCTGAGGAAAGGAGAATTGTAGTCCATGAAGTCCCATTCCTGATCCCCCTCCAGAAATGTCCAGTAAATTTCCAGAGGTCCTTATGGAGGGAAGAGAGAACCAACAAGGATCCATTGAGAGATGTTTCTTGGGTGGGATAAGTCAGAAACCATCTGCATCACCTCCCCCCTTCTCATAAGTTGGCGTACAGTGAAGCTTCGGAGCAGTTTGGTCTGGAGACCTGCAAAATGGCAAAGACAGCAGCCTCACCCCCCTGGTGCCCATCACGGCTACAGGCCCTTGGGACAGCCTGGCACAGTGAAAGGAGGACAATGAGAGGCACAGCAAGCCATTGGAAAATCCCAGCCTAAGGAAGGTTGGGCTTTGTCCTCCCCACTCAAAAAAGGGGACATCTTGGAGCCAAGGAAGAGCTTGCCCAGCCTGAAAGCCTTTTGCAGGAGCCAAACTCACCTCAGCTCTGCCCGTTTTATGAATGTTGACATCTGCAGGGAGAACCTGAGTTAGTGTCACACCACCAGCAGGACATTGGAGACACCAAAAACTAAACAGTTCTGGGAGGAAGGAGCCCCGGGTTTAAATGAGTAGGTATTGGGATGGAATGGGGAAATTTTGTTATAAAGAGGGTTTGAGATTGAGATTTATTGGGACTTTATTGAGAATACAAAGCATATTATTAAAAACATTGTACAGGGAACCAGCTCTGCCTTGTAAATGAGTACCCTGAAAGAGAAGATCATTGCGCCCAGTGCCAGGAGTTTAGGGGAAGCATCACTTGGAGCAACTCCCATTGTCAGCAGCAGAGAGCTCAGACCTTGAAGCATCAGTGATTGATGTGGAGAGAGCAAGGAGAAAAGGTGTGGAGTGTCTGTGGCCCCACTGCCATTCCATAGCAATGGGGTCTTTTGGGTCATTCCCATAAATGGTGATTTTTATATTGGGTTCACAGCAGAGTCAAACCCGGAGTAAGCCCCGCTCCTCTCTGCCTCTACCCTAGGGGAAGCTACCCAGAGACATAGACCATGCTGCCCCTGGTGAAGGACCACCCTGTAGACCCAAGATGCCATCATCTCTATCTCCTCCAGCCCCACAGCCAAGAGGGATCAGTGCTCACCTTTGGCATCTCTCTCTGCAGGCCCCTGCAAGGAAAAGGAAGGGAGAGGCAGGGAGGCAGAGTTACTGCCCAGCCCTGGCTCTCCATGCTCTGGGCTGCCCCATGAACACGATGGGATCATCATCCCCACCTCACTCAGGGAGGTTCAGGAGACTGGGAGGAGTTGCCCTGGTGGCGAAATCTGAGCTGAGCATCCAGCTGCCCAAGGAAACACCATGGGGTACGGGGGGGGTCCCATCCTTAATTGGTGTCATTAGGACTCTGGAGTGGAGCCTGCCCATGCCAAGTGCCACCTCTCACCTGTGACAGCCAGGTTCCATGGGTTGCTGAGGGCAGAGCTCACCCAGCTGCTCGCCTTCCTGTGCTGGTACCCACACGTGTATGTCCCTGCGCTCCCCAGGGTGACGTCCAGAAGGAAAAAGTAGCTCTGCTGTCCCCATTGGGCTTCCTGGCTGTTCTTCTCATCCCCACCCTTGCAGAAGACAATTCTTGTGGCTTGAACCTGGTGTACAATGGAGCAGCGAAATGGTTGAACCCTCCTGAGCATTGGAGGTGTTCAGGAAGAGGTCAGGAGCTGGGCTATCACCTGTAGATTTGGCACAGGCCAGCATTACCTCAGTGTCTTCACCAATGGATCACACATGGGGAATCATCTCCCTCTCTCATCCTTCATCCACCTCCCACCTCCTTTTCCTGACCCATCCCTGTGCTCACCATCCCCTGGGGAGCTGCAGATGTCCATGGTGGTCATGCTGGCACCTGCAGCGTGGGGCAGAGAGGGCTTTGGTTCGAGGGGCTGTGACCCAGCTCACCCATGTGCCCCTGCCCAGGTTCCCACTGCTGAGTCCTTGCTGGGAGAGCACCTTCCCACCCAGCTATCTCCATCCTGCACCTGTTCCGTCTCCTCCCTTCACACAACCCAGAGTCTGTTTTGTGTGGTTTTGCTGTTCCAGGTGGATGCCCCTGAGTCCCTAAAGCACTCCAGCATCTGCTCAGTGTCATCCTGTTATCCAAACACTCCCTTGAGCTTTTGGAGAAATGTGTCCTTTGCTGAGAGGTGCCCCGTGTCTGGAGGAAGCCATGGTCTCCCTGCCCTCAGCCCAGCAGCTCTGCCCCTCAGTGCTGCACGGCTGCTCCCCACAGCCTGTCCCCATCCTCCCCTCTGCCCAGGACGGGCCCTCTCCTGTCCCTCGGGGGCAGCATCCTCCCTGCAAAGCCCTCCTGCCCTTTCTCCCTGACTCTTCTTCACACTTTGCTAACTGCTCCTCTCGGGTGTTTTTCTATCTGGATGGAAGTGATTCTGCTGGAGAAAACCCAGGCAGGCTCAAAAATTGCAACAGACCTCTGGGGTTATCAACAAGGGCATGAGGTCCCAGGTGGGCAGAGGTCTCCTAAAGAGTGCACCAGGTCTGCAGAGGAGATGTTCAGAGCTGTCAACAAGTCTGAAATCCTGGATGGGAGCTATTCTTTTCATATGAGCCCTGACTCAGCCTTGCTTGCATGGAAAGGTGATTCTCCCTGATGAGACATCACCAGCAGTGTGTCCTTATGGCCAAGAAGGCCAATGGCATCCTGGGGTGCATTCCAAAGAGTTTTACCAGCAGGTAGAGGGAGGTCATCCTCCCCCTCTCCTCCACCGTGGTGAGGCCACATCTGGAGTGCTGTGTCCAGTTCTGGGCTCCCCAGTTCAAGAAGGACAGGGAACTGCTGGAGAGAGTCCAGCAGAGGCTACAAAGATGATGAGGGGCTGGAGCATCTCCTTGATGAGGAAAGGCTGAGAGCCCTGAGGCTGGAGAAGACCAGACCGAGAGGGGATCCTATCAAAGCTTCTAAGTGTCTGAAGGATGGGTGTAAAGAGGATGGCGTCAGGCTCTTCTCAGTGGTGCCCAGGACCTGATGATCTCCAGAGACCACTTCCAATCTCTACCATTCTCTGATTGTGTGGAAACATTTAGGAGACAAGTGGAGACACGGCTTTGCTGCAGATCTTGCACAGCCTGGAGCTGCAGATCACGCACACACGTGTCACAGAGGGGCCATGAGAGTCCAGGTCTGCAGGGGCACCCTGTGGTGGTTGCAGTGGGAGAAGAAAGCCAGACGTGGTGCAGTCTGTGTCCATCCCTGGACCATGAAACGGAGAGGGGTCAGAGCCCAGTTGCAAATGAGTTATTGCCCAGCAGAGATGAACAGAGAGCAAAAGGGGTGGTGTCAACCAGAGCACAGACAGTGTTCAAAACAACTACCATCAAAACTTGAAAGCAATTCCGGGAGTTTTCATCAGAAACGGTTTTGACTTTGTGTGTCTTCAGCAAGTGCAGAGATCTCCCATCTGACAACTAATGCTACGCAGCTGGTTTAGAGCACTTCCTCACAAGTTGTGACATCGTACATCCTTTATCTCAAGGTAAAATAGCTGCTTATTAATAGTTTGAGTTCAGAGGCCAAGATTATTCATGGTTAGTAATTGTTCTTGTGATGTTTAACAACTAAATTAGCATTAGAGCAGGCTTCCCTAATCTGTCTACAAGCTATCTCAAGCTGGAATGGCAAACTTTATTTACATCCTGGGTATAAGAACACGCCTTGACTTTATTTTCCTTTCTCTAGGCATCTCTCATTGCATCCCACTCAGTTTCCCATTTTATTGAAAAGCTTAAATTTCAGAACTGAGCTCTGTCTGCACTCCTCCTCCAATTTGTTTAGTTTTATTCCTCTCTAGTTTGGGCTCTCAGTCTGTAGAAGTACAGCTGGAACTCGGTTTCACCTCTCATCATCTTGAGAAACTTTATGGCATGACACTGATTTTAGCAATTATGCAATGGCAAGAGTCAATGGCTTCTCATTTTTATTTGCCTTCTGCCTTTACCCTGTAGCAAGAAGGAAACAAATAAAAACCAGCCCAAAGGAAACACAAAGCAACTTAAGTTGGAAGGCACCTCTGGAGGTCATCTACTCCAATGCTCTGATCAAAGCAGGTCTAGTAAGATGAGGATGCTTGAGCCTTGAACTACTCCAAGGATGGAATTTTCTCAGCTTGTTTTAATATTTGATCATCCTCATAGTAAAAAGTGACCAAAAAAAAACTTCCTTACATTTTATCAGAAAGTCTCACGTTGCAGCTTATGCCTGTTGCCTCTTACCCAAGCAAGGTGCATCTCCAAGAAGATGCCATAAGGACAGAAAAATATAGGAAGGACATTGAGCTCCAAACTGAATTGGAGCTCCCTGAGTCTTACGGACTGTTACCCAGGGAGGTGGTGCAG